ATATGTTGAGTCATATAAGAATTTAGTCTTGATTGGCCTAGAATTGGTGGTGCCCGCCTCATCTCCTGTTCCTCGTTGGGTTGTGGACCTAGGGCAGACCCACTATATTCAACGTTTTATCTAAGTTAAGCCTTATATAACTTTATATGTTGGACGATTATAGAGGAACTCTACGGATTACTCTAGGGTTCATTACAGCATCATGTAGGATTATTTCTATTCATACTTAACTAAGAAAATATTGGATTTTCTGGAAATCAAACTAAATCGATTTTACAAGGAAAAACGGTTTCTACTTCAAACAAAACTCTTATGAACTCACCAACCTTTGTGTTGACACTCTTTAAAACTACTTGTATTCTCAGGAAATCAGTGAAACAGGAAAACTTCATCGCTTTGAGGATGGGACGCTAAACCGTCAACAATTTATTTTGTCATCATAATGTAATTGCTTTTGAAACATGTAAACATATACTTTGGTGTAACTTTTGCAATTATATTTTATGGTGGTTGTTTTTACTTTGAGCACTATTATACACGTTGTTGTGATACTGTACATGAAGTCCTCCACCCCCAGACGTTTCCGCCATCCTTGGTTTGGGGGTGTGACAGATTGGTATCAGAGCATTGTTTATAGTGAACTAAGTATATCGAACCACATAAGATATACAAACTATAAATGCATTGGGACTAAGGTCTCTGATTTTAAGATTTCAAAACCACTATACCTTTAAGAATAAATAACTTTGTTAAAAGTATACATGCATGCATACATACTAAGGTCAGCATCATTTTAGGACAAAACAAAAGTAATGATTGTTGGATATCACAGTTAAGCCTGGGGATGTATGATCAGTCTTGGGAATAGCATAGCCTGATCAACTATGCTGGTCCGAGGAGTGATTAGCATATGCCCAAGAATGGTTGTGATGTGGCAACAAGTCTAAAAACTTACCAACACTACCACAATGAAATACCATAGGGGTATTTTGGCATTATTAAAAATTACATCTGCAAGAACTAAATAGATCTTTATCAATAGGTCAATAGTTGCTTAGTGGATACATTAAAATTTTATGTATCCAGGACGTCATAGACTTAGAATCTGTGGATCTTTGCCCTACTTCCTGTTCTCGTTGGATTGGGGATTTAGAGTTAGGGTCGCTTATTCGAAGGTCTATCCTGTCCCGAATACATATAATTAGTATGCACTAAACAATTTGTTGAAGTACCTGATAAAGATCATCGTATAATTAGCCAATTAGTACTTTTGCTTAATTATTTCTTATATCCCCATTTCTCGCGAAGATATCATGGCTGGAGTTCCATCCACACGATGACCCGTACTACCCTAACCACGACAATACCAAATGGCTCGGAGAGGAGCCAGAGAATGATTACCCAACCCCTGTAGATGGTCACCAAGCTGAAGGCTATGCTGATGGTTCTGACTCCGACCCTGAAGTGGAGAACTTAACCCCGATGACTCTTGTTCCGAATCCCAACCCTTGACCGGCTTTCAAGGCCCGACGCCTCCTTGGGTAGAGTGCTTGGAAACCTGGAGCAAAGAACAAAACCAACATATGTCGTTTAATAGAGAACGAAGCTTCTACAACATAAACGAAGGAAACTCAGCAGATAATTTTTTTTTTTTTCCAATCCTAGTCTATAGAGTTGCCCGAAACGAGATTCAGGGTAGAACAACTCTCCATAGTATCGCAGAGGTTGATGCAAATACAAGAATACATACGATCCGCACCAATCGCCTTGAGCACACTCGCGAAAAATCTAAGAGAGACCACAAAACCCACTAACTCGTGAAGTTCATTAATATGGACTTCCTTTATGAATTATATATAAGGAATTCTTAAATCGAGAATAACGCAGGAAAAATCAAATTCTATAACAACTGACTTGTCTTTACTAGTAGGAACTTACCATCTGATCAGTTTTCCTTTTTGCAAACTCATTGACCATCATGCCCACCATGACACTATGACAACCACCCTTACCCAAGCAAGAGGAGGGAACAACGAAAGAAAGTTTTGGGACAACAAGAAGGACCAATCAACCCAAGGCCTCGCTAGGAAGCAACAGATCCTTGCTGTTCATGCTGCCACAACCCTCACCACACCAACTCCCATGAAACCATACGCTGGAACACTTCCAAAATGCAACAAGTGTAACTTCCATCACACTGGGGCTTGCCGAAAGATGCATTGCAAAAACTGCGACAGAGAGGGGCACACTGCTCGTTTCTGTAAGGCACCAGCACGACCTATCAACCAGGTACCCGGCTCTAGAGTAAGCCCAACCTGTTACGAGTGTGGAGAAACAGGACACTTTAAAAGGGAATGCCCAAGGACAGAGATGCTGGTGGTGGCGGGAGGGTGTTTGCAATCACCGAGGGAGAAACCACTCCGGAACTGCCCGCAAATATCAGTACGTGTTTCTAACATCGACATTTAAATCCCGAATTTCTTTATATGATAAATCTAGCATCGATTAAAGCATGCATAGTAGTAATCATGTGACATCGGGCGAGTTATTCCTCGCCATAATCAAATTCTGGTACTACGAAAAGTCATCCCCATCTTTCCTCTAAATTCCTGGATCCCCATTCGAAGTGCAAATTTCGGGACGAAATTCCCTTTAACGGGGGATGATGTGACAACCGTCATATTCGGGTCAATTTGTGACAATCGTCAATCTTGAGTCAAGTCAAGTCATCAAGTCAAGCCGGTCAACTCTATTAAACCTTGTGTATTAGGTCGATGAATCGATAAAGCAAGAACATATGAGTTTTTGATTCGCAATTGGATTGATGATTGAGGGATGATTCATGAAGAAAAACGCGAAGTCAAGGACTATGAAATTGTTGGTTGCAAGAATTTAAAAACTCGATTGTGGAGTTGTTGATGCTCATTTTGCGAAAGTAAAACAATCGAGTGTTCGCATCTATGAATCAATTTGAAGTCAATTGGGTTAATATTCGCATATGGGTTCAACATATGAAAATTTTGATTTCGCAAGTTTAGAGTTCAAGAACTAAACTGTGTTCGCATCTGGAATGAAAAATTTTGTGAATCGCATTTGATTAATTAGGTTAAAATGCGAAGGGATGCGAAGGGTGTAAGAATGAAAATGCGAAGGTGATTAATGCGAAGGGATGCGAAGGGTGTAAGAATGAAAATGCGAAGGTGATTAATGCGAAGGGATGCGAAGGGTGTAAGAATGAAAATGCGAAGGTGATTAATGCGAAGGGATGCGAAGGGTGTAAGAATGAAAATGCGAAGGTGATTAATGCGAAGGGATGCGAAGGGTGTAAGAATGAAGATGCGAAGTATTTCACAGTAGAATGCGAATTGGGGAAGAAAACAGAAGATTTCAAATATTGTCCCTGGAGTTTCGCATTTTTGGAAATAAATACTCAACTTCGCAAATGGGGGTCATAAAATGATGAAATTGCAGAATTTTTAAAGAGATACACACACATAGACAACCACACATATATTTAGAAAATTAAACTAAAAATGGGATATAGACTATTATAAGACATTGTTCTTGACTTTTGAGTCCAAAGACGTATGATCCGAACTTTAATTGTGAAATCGTCCTTGATTGAGTCAATTTCCTTTATAGGAGTAATATATTCCATTGTGCCTTGCAAGTTAAAAAAAAAAAAAAAATCAAAGTCACAAGCAACCACCCCACACCCACTCTATGACCAGCCATACCTCCCCACCTTACCTATGTCACTTCAATGTTCCCTTACACTCAAATTTCACTCACTCCCACGTTTTTGAGCTGGAACAATCAACCACACTCCTCATTTTCTCTCATTTCTCTCATTCCACTAAGTAACAAACATCACTTTTTCTCTCAAACTCTTCTACACAAATTTTCGAGATCCAAGGCTGGATTCAAGTGTTCTTCCACACTTAGTAAGTAAAAATTCATCCTCCCTATTATTATTTCACTTCATTCTACTCAAATCTTTGGTTGCTTACACAAACTCCCTAACTATAATGTTAGATTCTCGAAAACCTTCAAGGCATCTCCAAGTGTTCTTGAATTAAACACTTCCATTCTTCAACAATCATCTACTGAAATCACTCAAGGTGAGTTCATACCCCTACATTTTCATGTTTTCTCAAGTTTTCAGGGGGGAATACAAGTTAAAACACTAAGAACATAACTAGATTTTTCTAACAGCCTTCATCAGAAAAGTTCAACTCCATTCACGGACTGTTTTGGGCATCTTAAACATTTTTGTTTTCAAAACTGTACAAGGTGCAAATAGTTTAAGTTTTTAGCTTTAAAATGACTACTTGCACATCTCCATACGATTTTTCTACAATTTATGGTAATTTTTACAAAACTGCCTATCATTTCAAACAACAATCCGGACCAGTCTGTGATTATGGACTTTTTCACCCAAGTTAGAGGTCATTATAAATTGTGATAAAAATTATGAGCAAACTAGACACATTTTGTGAACTCTCAGAATTTACGGATCTAGTTTTCGACTTTGTATGATTTTTCTAGGATTTTTCCAAAACAGGGCAGAAT